TAGCAATGGCCTCCAACCTACTTGCGATGACCTCCAACATCCTCCAACATAGTAGCAATGGCCTCCAACCTACTTGCGATGGCCGCCAACCTAGCAGCAATGGGCTCCAACCTACTTTCGATGGCCTTTAACCTAGTATAGCAATGGCCTCCAACCTACGTGCGATGGCCTCCAACCTAGTAGCAATGGCCTCCAACCTAGTAGCAATCAATGGCCTCCAACCTACTTGCGATGGCCTCCAACCTGGTAGGGAGGGGACAAACCGAAAAGCCAAAACATGGTGGCCACGTGACACAGATGGCACCAGTTAAGCAGATTTGGAGGGCAGTTGGCAGGAAGAAGATGGAGAAGTGTTGTCCCATTCTTCGGTGGATGTTTAAAGTAGTCATAGTTCAGCGTCAGTTCGTTTTGGTTCGTTCGTGTTGTTCGCTGCTTACCTACAAGGATTCGAGGCTGCCTCCTTTCATCATTGATTGATCCTATGTCGCAAAGTCCAACTCTACATTGTCCTACCTCAGCAATTGTTCTACTGCTGGGGTGGCGCTTGACTTTGTCCATGAGGATCACAATTTGCTGTGTCCGTTATAGAACTGAGGCCCTCCATTACCAGAGTGGCAAGCGATGGCGGAGATTGCAGTAGTGGATGAGCCTGGAGGGCAAAGCCTGGGCTGCTTGGGGAGACTGGGGCAGCAGATGCTCACAGATTTGATTGTTCCGTGGGTGAGATGTGGTGAGTATCATGTTCACTTTGAGGATGGTATCCCATGGTCCGGCCAAGCAGATCTTACAAACGACCCAGATGGTCCACCTGGAGTGCTTGTCTTGCGGCCTTTGCTCAGCTCAGGAAAGGAGCGACCTTCCAAGAAGTGGACAGAAATTGCTACCACGTGAAGAATCTCGGTAGCAAAACCGCAATGCGTTTCTCATCGTGCGCAGTGTCTTGTTTCAGAAAACACACAAAGTGCCCAGCGAACTGTCATTTTTTGCCCCCAATAAACCCCCCCTCCAAAGTGAACTGCGCACGACCCGGTCTTGCATGTGAACTGCCCAGCGCGATTTAGCGCTGTGAGGTTCACCAAAACGAATGGTGAAGGTCCCGCTGAGGGCTGGGTGCCATACTACGTGAAGGGGCAGCGTGTGGCCAAAAGGATCACCGAGATCCTTTGGCATGTGGCCAAGCTGAAGACCTTTTTCGTCAGGGCCATCCTGGATATCTAAAACCAAACCACCAACCTAAAGACGCAATGGCCTCCAACATCTAAAAACCAATAAATGGAATGATTTGCAGCATAACCTTCTGACCTTGAACCGTACCTATCATACCGCACAGACCGTCATATGACCTTCCCTGTTCTCTCCTTCGTGGTTCTCGCGAGGTGAACCCGTGGGGGCGTGAAGAAGAGAAGGAGTCCAATGTGACAGATGACACGATGTGGCAGAAGATTCTACAGCTGGATGTGGGCAATTTCCCGCTCTGCACCGCCACCGGTTTCTCGATGCTCGGCTCCAAACCATCGATATGCGTTGATGCGCTGTGAAGTGCCAGATTATCAAGGATGATTTGTATGGACAGACAATGTCACATAGATAGAAGCAGGCGCCAAATCTGCAAAAAAACGTTTTTCTTTTTTTAATAATATATATTTGGTAAATATCATCCATTTCAGGCCACCGCGATTAGGTTAGAGGCCATCGCTGTTACCTATTCGAACTTAATATTATTGGTATTCCATTTACGGCAAAAAGCACGTTGTGTTGAACTCAGTTCTGCCAGCCTTGCTTCATTCCCAAGGAACCGCTCCAAAGAGCAAGCTTTGCGGGAGACTGGGAAGTTCACATTGAAAGGTTTAGAACGAAAAGAGAACGCGATTGAAACGAGCTCCTTGGGTCGGGTGTTGGACACGAAGTGCACCGAGTCCGGATCTGTTCACCCTCGTCCTTCACACCGCGTTCGTGTAGGAAACGTCCAACCCGCACCGAGTCCGGTCGAGACGAACGAACTGAGGATGGGCTGACGGAAAGCCACGCATACTCGGTCCTGTATCTCGCTGCTGGTGATTGCAACGGGCGACGGTCGCACCTTTTGAGATGAGTGACAGTGGATCTATTTGGGTAAACGGATGAACGGAAACTGCGAAGGTGGGCACTCTTGGAAAGTGTCGATCGTAAAAATGAGAGACACGTTGAACAGGAATGGCAAACACAAATGAAAAACGAAACCAAGATTGGTATTGATTCACGGGGCGCAGTGGGACACAACACAAGGGGCGAAGTCGTGTGCCAATTCTGCAGTCGTGGGGTCTGTGGGGTTTTTCACGGCGGTGAGACGAGACTCGAGGCATGCACTTGTTACTAATAGTAAGGCCCTTGTTTCTACTAGCTTCTTGTTACTACTAGTAAGGCACCTGTTACTACTAGCGTGGCACCTGTTACTAGCGTGGCACTTGAGGCATGCAAAGGAAGCTTGTGGTCATCGTTTGATTTGCCTCCGAAATCCATGGGGCCACTGGGAATGGAAAGGTCCCTGGAATGATGCTTGGTACGCAGACGGCGGCGAGACGTCGGCGAGACGACCGACATCGAGACCGAGACCTGTCCAAATCGGTCGCGGTCGGTGGGTGATTTTGGGTCGCTTGCTTCAGGACAAAGGAGAGGAATGGCGACAGAACCCTGGCGTGGCGAAAGCATTGCAGGTGGATATGAAAGAGGATGGTGTGCCATGGTTTGCCATAGTGGGCGTGTGTTCCACGTTCACGTTCATGTGGATGTGTCCATATGAGTGTAGCCGATCCGATCCGATCAAGTAAGGGATCAGAAATATCCCCCTAATTCAACGTTGACTGGACTCCTGACATGTGCTGATGACAAACTTCACGCGACAACATCCAAGTTGGGGAAACAGGGGATTGGAACAGCATGAAACAAGCCGACTCGCGATGCTAATCTAAGAAGCCTTTGTGTTCCCGAAATGGGAAGGGTTCGACAGGTGTTTGAAACGCACGGTTCCCGACCGAAAAAAGGCCGACCGGTGCCCGCCCAGAGCGGGTCTCTTTTGGTTCAGTCGCGCTCGGCGCTGAATCGGACGAAGAACCAAGCGGTCTTATGTCAAGACAAGGACTGACGGAAGTGGATGCTCGCTACTGGAAGGGTTTTTGACAGGTTGGTCTTGGTTCAACGCAAAGTGACAGTTTTCACGAGTCGACCGTGAGGTATTCTGGACAGACTATGAAGACTTCAAGTGGAACTTCTCTATCATCTTTCAGACGAAAATCGCCATGCCGACCAAGCGCCGGGGACAGGACTGGGCCGGTTGCCACCGCAAGTTCAGCGGTTCAGCGGGTTTGACGCTTCTCGGACACACGTGGTTTCCCACTGTTTTCTCAGCACTTGTAGTCTCAGAGTTTCGAAGCGCAAACTCAAACACGACTTGCGAAGCTACTAGTAGCTAGTGTGGCTACTTGTGATGCCCTCCAACCGAATAGCGTCCTTATTAGTAGCAAGGACGCCATGAGTGGTGAGAGTCCAGGATGAGCTGGTCGAAGACGATGTGGCTGCGTGATGCGCCGGCCTCGTCGGGGTTGCAGAAGCGAAGCTGAGAATTGATGCGGTGGTCACGGGTACGTAAAGCGGAAGGTTGGCAGTGCTGGTTTGGCCGCTTTCTTTGGTTGCTTCCGCAATTCCGGGAGAAAACTCAAATACATCTCCAACGCAAGCCAAGTTCCTTCTACCTGAAGCTGCAAAGCAGCTTGACACTCAGACAGGGTGCAGGCGACAATGAAAGAGTTCTGTCGAAACGATAATTATTTGGATGTCATCAAAATAATGCCCCCGCTCCGAAGCAAAGCCTGAGACCCTGCAGTTGCTTGGCAGCTTCGGAAGGATCGACTCTGAAAAAAGGTTCAACCCAGTTGCTTGTTGCTTCAGACAGAAACTCCAGTTGTATCCTGGGCTCATCCGGGGAAGCGGCTCGCTTTGGCTCGCATCTTCGCAGTTGGTCGGCACTGCTGTTTGCCGTGCTGCAGAGACATCGAAGCAAAGCTCTTTGTCTCAGCAATTGCTTATGACTGCTGACCATGTTTCAGACAGTTTCAGTGTTAACATGTGTTTTTAATAGAAGCACCCGCGGTACAGGTTGTGTTGGAAGAGTCCTCGCTACGAATGCGAAGTCCAAAATAAATCAAAGCTGCAAAAAAAGCAGCACACAGCAGCACTATTTCCGACATTGGGATATGCGGTTTGTTTTGAAGCAAACTGGGAAGCATCATTTGGTGTCTGGACAAAGTTTCCAGTCGACGGCACTTTGAAGAACGAATTGGAATGGAGCACAAACAACCGCGGCAACCAAGTGTGTCTGGTATGGTGAATGTTCGGATGTAGTGAAGCTGTAGCAGTTATAGAACGATCATGAAGGATGTCGCATTTTTTTTGCTCTACGGCGCAGACCGGAACGGCACCGAGTCCAAGTTGGAAGTTCCACTGGAAGTTCGTGTCGGATGATGTCAGATGGGAGAGCCAAACCCAACTCAGAGGGTGCCTGGCCGTTTGCTTTTTCCGTCGGTGTCAGTCGCTTATGTCCGATGGAGTTCATCGGACCGGGACCAGGCGTGTTTGTTCTTCGTCGCAGATCGTTTCAGCCGATCAAAACGGACAACGAATCCGTCGTTGGGCGCCAAAGAACGACAACACGGACAACGTTGGACGGCACTTTCAATACATAGTAGGTAGAACGGATCATAACGGAAGTACTAACGGTGCAACAGCACCGTGGCAATTTCCTTCAACTCTTTTTGAAGTGCTGCAAACCACAGAAACACGTTAGAAACACACACATGCCCGGAAACTGATAGGGTTGGATATTGTTGTCAAGTGATGTGAAGCGTGCCTTTGAGTGCATTCGGGTGCTATGGCAGATCCAGCGCTCAGCCTCAGCTGGTGCAACGCCATTGGAAGAGGTTTCAGGAAAAGGTGATGGAAGTCATTCGGGGAATATGGACGAAATCATGAAGTGCAACAAACTGAGCGGTTTCAGATGGTTCAGATGGTCACATTGGCAGCTTTTTGAAGCTGCAAGTGCTCTTTTGCTTGCTCCGTTTGAGGCCAACCGGCCGACCCTCCTGGAGGAGAGTGGCAAACGCCAACACAAAGTGATGAATGGCCATGTCTATCCATGTCTGTCAATCCAATTTTTTTCCCTTTTTGATGCTTCCTTCTTCCTGCTTCACTTTCATCACACTCTCGTTTGCTGCGTCGTGAGTGGTTGCTCAGGAGCGGCGCCGGCGTTCGCCCACCAGTCCACCCTCCATCCCGTGCGAACCACCGAGACCGGTCGCAAACCGAACGCCACGGGAGGTGTCACGACGCGCTTTCGGGCAGGGCAGGGCGATCACGAGGCGGTCATCATGTATCCAGTCTCATGAGTGTCGTGTCCTTCGGTTCGGCATTTGGAGATGCCAAGCTTCGAGATCTTCGGCTCCCCAGGTCTTCTTCCAGTTCAATGTCAAAGCAACTGGTGCGCCGACGGGTCAGACAAGAAGGATTCAAAACGAGACGGTGCAGGAGACGAGTTATATTTACTAGTTACCTCTTATAGGGTAAATACTTATTATGCAAACATGCATGTTAAACGAATGGCTGACTTTGAAGAAAGAACAGTAAAGGCCATATGAGGCAATAAAGGTTCCGCATAAGAGAAAGGTCCGCCAAAGCTCGGCGATTCTTTCACGACGCACTTTTACGGCACGCTTTTCTCGCAGGGGTCCTTTCGGGAGCGGCAGGAGGCCCGACGGATGCCGAAGGATCGAGTCATGGTCTGTTTTTCTAGCTCTTAATTGTAAAATTCACTTCGAATTTGGGATTGAGATATTGAACCACCTGTAGCAATGCCTATGGTGCAGCGCGTGGTAGGTTGGACGACTGAAGCGAAAGGACGACGTTGAGCGACGGCGTTGGACGACGGTTCCGTCGGTTCCAGGCCTTGCTGGCGAAGCAGGGTCGGTTGAATGCCACCGCAGCCTCGCGCCATGCTGTGCCGATGGAAGAGGCGGAGCATGGCGGAGCCAGCGAGTTAGCAGCTCTTCGTTTGAAAAGACACGTGTGTAGAGTGACCGAAAGCAGGGGAACTCAGGTGGCCCTGAGTAGACGATTTGGCTGCTTTTCTGCGCAGTTGGTTCACTGATAGCTAGAATGTGTTTGCCTCACATTCACATGACCAAGGGGACGACATAGATCAGACACTTCAACCGCCAAGCGCACGCCTGGCCCCAAAACTGCAGGCGGAGACAGATGATCTCCGCTCTGCTGCAGGCAGTGTGGCCAGCCGCTTTGGCAGGTTCAAAGCTGCTTCAGAAAGGGTTATCATTGTTCCAAGTGGCTTGGGCAGAGGATCTCCTGAAGAACGCTTGGGCAATAAGGTTTTGACAAGCAAAAGAGCCTTGAGTCGTGTGACCACGATGTGCTGAAGGGCACTCCAGGTACATATTTGGATAGTCTCTTCTACCATGGTAATGGTCTCATCTTCCAGAACTGCTCGTATACGTCTTCTTCGATCTTGTTTGGACCTCCTCGCCCTTCCCCAGGTGTTCTCGCCCTGCCTTTGGTGTGTCTTTCGGTTGAGCCCCGCGCTGGACTTGGGACTTGGCGACACCGAGGCAAGGCGCCGTCCTTGCATCCCTCGGTGGCCAGCTCCATGGGCCTCTCCGAGCGCGGCGGCCCAGGGCGGAAAGTAGGAACAAGTGCAGTAACAGGTGCCTTACTAGTAGTAACAATGTTTGCTATTAGAATTAATTAAATAATAGCTTTTTGTTAGTACTAGTAAGGCACTTGTTACTACTAGCGAGGCACTTCTTCTAAATAATATCAAATATATATAAGTATATGTTTATCAGAAGAAGATGGACGAAGATCCAGAAGAAAGGTCTGAAAATCATTGTCTTTTTGACCCGTTTCGTGTGGTGTTTGGATGCACACATCGCCACCAGCGGAGTGACCGCGCCCGTAGGGTGACCTTGGGTGCCGGTGATGACACCGCCTATTGGGATTTCCAGCATCGCAAGGCGCGTTTCTTCGCTGAAACAGGTTGAAATGGAAGTGGAGACATGAAAGATATTGAAAGAGTATTTTTTGCAAAACAATAATCCGATAACAAAAATAACAATTGGGTTTGCGTAATAAACCCTTTTGATGAGCAAATAGACTATTTGGCCAGAAACAAACTCATCCACTTTGTCCGTGGAGGAACAGTGTTTGACCAGTCATCCCTTCACTTCATCGTTTGCAGATGCCGGGGTGAACGATCGGTGAACGTGAAGAGATCGCCAGTTCCTTTCGTTTGGGGCCGCTGTTGGGGCCACACCCGCTGGCTGTCGCCCGCGGAAATGGCGTCGGTGTCGACCTCGCAGGTCGAGAAGAAAGATTTGGGGCACAAGTGCTTCGAGTGCAAAGAGACCTTCAAATCGCCTGGGGACACAGAGACGACACGACACATTCTCGGGTCCTCGGAGGGAGGGGTTCAGTCTCGGTTCAGTCTCGCGTTTTCCGGTGGTGGCGTTTTTGGGATGGGGAAACGGGTGTTTCTATCAACCCATTTTTTTTTTGGAAGCTCTATTCTATACATGATAGATTATGGGTGATCATGATTGAAAGACAGAAAGAATCTGATCCAATAGATGGGGGTGACCTTCCGACAGAGTGGGTCCACTGCTCAGTTCGTCCACGGTGACACGTTGACTCTTCGAGATCACCCAACGGCGGCATTCCCTCGGTGGGTAGCTCGATTCCGTGCTCGACGCATCGCCCGAGGGCGGGAGGAGGAAGATGTTGACACCTTCCAAAAGAGGGGCGATTGGCATTCATTTGGCATCGCTACCAAGAGCGATCGGACGCTATTAGGGGCGCTCCTGGCCCTACTACTCTACTAGTAACCAGGGCATCACTACTATAGGAACAAATTGGAGTTGCTCTCCCATGTTTCATCCAGAAAATGGTGGACTGGGAGGATCGGATGGCGGATAGCCCGACAACAGTGGTTCCGGTCTACTACTAGTGCGGTGCCCTTTATGGCGCAACTGGAGTCAAACCATCACTCCAAGTCGTTCTATCAGATATCAAAAGAGACATTAGCATTCATTACATACTCACGATATTAAATATTACTATGACTAATATATTCATTAAATTTAATCTTCATTAACCAGTGTATATGACTCCCACGGACTCGGACGACCGGACTCCACTCCCACGGGACGACCCCTCCGCCGCGAGGCTCGGAGGAGCCTTGACCGAGCGCCGGGGCGGCCGCGTCTCCATGAGGCGCGAGGGGCGACCTGGCTCCTTCGGTCTACCCGAGTTGTTTGCAGCGGGTTCGGTTCGGGGAGTGGGGGTCGGGGGGCAGTGTTTGGTGGCAGGGTGTAGAGTCTTGAACGGAAGGTGGCTTTCGGGAGGGATGTGTTTGTTCGAGCTGTTTTTGTTCGAAAAAGACACACGGAGCACACGGGGCGTGCCGGTGTCATCGCTCTGGTGAGTGGAGTCCGTGACGAGCAGCACGGTGAGAGCTTTGCTGCACGGCTCAAATAGCAGCCATTGGGAAACGCATTAATTAGCTTTTGGGGTGAAAACCATCAATCTGTCCACACCTGGCGTTCCCTTTTTGCCAACTATTTGAGCTGCTTTGCACCGAAGGCACTCTAAAAAAACCCACAAAATAGACCTCCCTGAGTTCGGCCCATAGATCGGCCCTTTCGTCTAACTGTTCGGAACGCCCCGTGCGAAGAAGTGCACGGCGCAGTGCGCACAGTGCGCTTTCGAAGCGCTCAGATACCATGGAGAATGCTTCAGCGGCTTTGCGGATCCGCGATCCCAGGCACCGCCACGGGAGTCCGAAACGGACGGCGCGCGGATGTGCGGTGCGTTTTGGGGTTTCTTTCGGGCCGAGAGGAAGCAACAGATAAGCTCATCCAACGTAGGGTTTGAAAGGAAACTCATTCATGGCTCAGGTTTGTCCAAGAAACACTTGCTTCACCAAGAAGTGTGTCCAAATTATGAGTGTTTAAAGATCTTTCTTCAAAGGGATTGGTGAAAATCAGAATCAGAACTCCAATCTGGCCAAGAAAACCCAGCTGAAAACTCCGCAAAGCTGTCGCGCTTCTTCTCTTCACCCGTCCCTGCGGTGAATGACCAGCGCTCCGTGTCTCGGAGGCGCGCTCCTCGCACCACGAAGGGCGCCTCGCGGGGTCGCAGCTCCAAGCAGCACCGCAGGAGAAGAAGGGAGAAGAGAAGGGTCGGTGTGAGAGAAACGCGATTTCGGGTGGAAACCAGGTGGGGTGAAACCAGGTGTGAAGGTCGGATGAACATGTGATTGGAGAAGGTCTTCCGGCCTTAAAAAGCGTCTCCGAATGTAGTCTCTTCGTGTCGAAACGGCCCCAGCGGTCCTCCAGGAGGTCACCACCAAGATGCGCCACTCGTTTTGAAAAGCCCGAGTGGTGAGACGCCGCTGTGGCGGGGGCGGGAGAGATTACGTTGCTCTTGAAGAACCACTTCAGAACGTGGAGGAGTTCTTTTTTCCTGTGAAACTCTCGTGTCAAGCATCGCAGCTATAGAGATTGATTGAATGATGCAGGCAATTGGCTCGAGAGCACGCCAGAGCATGCGTGTCTTTCTGCTTTTGTCGCTTTCTGCTTTAATCGTGGGGGCTGAGGATGTGAGTGCCAATCTGCAGGTGAGTGGCGACTGCAACGATGAGTCCGGCCCCCACAATGGACTTTGGCTCTACATGGGCCAAACCGCTTCGGGGCGTCCCTACTACAAACACTCCGAGCAGCCTTACTACATGTACTACGACCCGGCCTGCGACGGTCAGGCCGAGGGCCGCTGGGTGATGGACTCCGAGGCGCCGAGTGTGACGGCGGAGGCGGATCTGGATGAAGACACCCATTGCTTCTACCACAGTCGCTACTTGGACTCCTCGATGATGCCCAGCAGTGGCGTCTGGCGCTCCTACTGTGCGGAGGTGGGCTTGGGATGGGTGGATTCCAATGTCGTCATCACCCAGGTCGTGACGACCACGACCACCACGTAACGATGATCGATGATCGCCATCAGCGAATTAGCGATCTCGTCTCTCATGTAATGATCGGAAAAAAGAAGTGGTCTGAGCAGTGAAGCACTGCGGCACGGAATTTGACAAAATTCCTGAGAGTAGTTAGAACGTGTCCAGGTGCTTCAAAGAACAACGAAGCCTTTGAACTTTGAGTGCCTAAACTGGGGCGCGTGCTGAAAAAGAGTGCTGCAAAAGAAGGAGATGGACCAGCAGATTGAGAACTATAGGATGTATTTCTGTAGGTAAATGAGAGTTCGGTGTTCTGCTTTGCGGTAGTTCAAGCCACTGGATGTCCTAGTCTGAGGTACAGCCAAGCACTTTGAGCAGGTCAGCTGCGGGAGAATGGTCAGACACATGCTTGTTCCAGACGAGTCTGTCACAGCCTGTATGTTTGGCAAAAGCAACTGACAAAGAAAGCCAGCAGGTCTTGGCGGTCGATTCAACGATTCAACAAGCAAACATATTCGGCACAAGAAGAACACGCCCCATTTGGCCAACAAATCATCTCAACTGTGGCGTGTTTTTGCTCTTGGAGCTGGGGGAAGTCCCCCCCAGGATGTGTTGTTCACGTTCCTTTTCGGGTGAGTCGCAGGGGGGGGCGAGTGGCCTCTAGCATCGGCGGAAAGTTCGGTACCATGATGGCCATGGGTTTGGGAAGCCCAGCTGAGGGGCGATGCCTTGCAGACCTGACATGTCTCTGAAAGAAAACGATCCGAACTCGGATGAATTCAAAAAGCCATGAGTAGACTTTAAGATGTAATCAAGAAAATCCACGACCTGTCTTTTTTGCTTGGATGATGTATACGATGTATGCAATGGTCGATTCAGGAACGAATCCAGTTCAGACGGAAGGCTCAAACGACCTGGCCATCCTCGCTCGTGTGAGGCCACAACTCCTTTGGCTCCAAGTCCTCCAAGGGGAAGGCGCCGGCCTTCGGCCCAGAGGAGTGAGACGTGTCGGAGCGAACCTTCGGTCGTTTGCTGTTCACGGTTGGTTGGGGGGAAAAAAGAAAACAAAGCGATCCAACATCCTTTCAACATGTGCGTTTTGCGATCTACGTCTTCGGTCTTTCCCAATCGCAGAAGGGCGATCGTCGGTGCGGTGCAGGTCCATTTGCCGCAGCGCGCCCCCGGCGATCTCACCTAGGAGTGCGTCGCGGGGCACGAAGGCGTTGAGGAAAAGAAGGGGAGAAGCGTGGAAAACCACACGACTCGTGTATTAGAACCATGCAAAGCACCAGTTCAACACCAGTTCATCATCAAACATCACTCAAATCAGTTGATCATAGCTGATGACGGACTCACCATTCTTCACCAGGTGAAACACCGTGGTTTCAGGCCCCTCACCGAGTCGGATGCGGCCACCGTGTGGCGAAAAGGGGGCGGAAAAGGTCCACGACGGAGGGCCGACGGTAAAGGGAGGATGAGGAGAGATGGCAAAAGAAGCAATAGTGAAAAAGTAAATGAAAGTGAAGTATCACAAAGATGTCACAAGATTTCACAAGATATTGCTACCTTTGTTGCTGAAATATCTTTTTTTGTACTGTGCTGTGAAGGGAAAGCGTGGAGCGCCAGGAGCAACTGGCCGCACATGATGCCCAGCTGGAGGTGAAAAACGATGTGGATGATTGATGAGGGGTCACAGTGGTCACAGTGGTCCGTGAGTTGTTTGTTTTATACAGGAGGAGACGAGGAGACCCCCAATGTTTGACTCGATTATACATATATATATATATAACTGTTGGTTTTGCAAGTACCTATGATATTTTTTACACCGGAGGCCAAGAGAAGAATCACATAATGCCAAATTATGAAATACATGTTTGCCTGTAGGTCCTTGGTTTCCAGGATGAGGTCCAGGTGGTCCAGGTGCCTAGGATTTTTTACTGCAAAACAAAGATGAATTGCAGGCCATCGACGAAGATAAGGAGTTGGAGTCGTAGAAGGACTCCCGGCGAACGGACATGAGGGTCGCAGGATAAGGCCCTAGAATTGGATGGATTTGCATTCAGATCTCTTGAGTCAGAATGAATTATCAGAGTTGACTAGTGAAGAATCCCCACGCAGTACAGTGAAAGTGCATTTCGAAAAGCAGACAAAAGCGAAGGTGCTCCAACAGAATGGCGACTGCCCTGCCAAATGATCAATATGGGTGGAGGAGCACTACAAGTTGCAAAAACGGAAAGTGGAGGAGCTGTTCTTTCCTCCCACCGTCCAGCCCGACTGCCCCGACTGCCCGATATCCGCACCGAACGACTCAACCACCGCCTCAGGACACCCAGTTTCACCGCATGTGCTCCAGAGCACCAGCTCGCGTGGAGGCCCAGACCGGAGTCAAGGTTTGGTTCCAGTCAGAGTGCCTTTTTCCATGACCTCAGACACCAAACCGTCAAATAGACACTCATTGAAACGGTTGGTGTTCACCCAGAGTGTGTTAAATCACCAAAACCTCACGTTCTGACAGCATCTGAGTGTGTCAAATCCCCAAAAGGTTGGGAGCTGAAACCACCAAAACCTCAAAGCTCTGACAGCATTTGACCCGCCGCACCGAGGCGATCGAGCCGAATTGGGTGGAGACCGAGCCGGTGGGAGCTAGAGTTCGCAGAAGAACAAAAAGAGTAGCTCATAAGTGGTTGGAGTTGGAGTTACTTCCGTTGGTATATAGGTCTTCTTTCACTGGTTTGAAGCAGATTTGAAGCAGATGTGGATGCTGTGCGTTGCACTTCCACAAGGACCATTGTACAAGTTCTTTCTTCATTGAGCATTCATTTCTTCTTGATTGGCCTCTGTTTGGAAGGAGTTCGCTTCACGCACGAAATTGAGCATCTGTCCTTTTTGCTTGCTGGTTTCTTCTCAAAAGCCACGAAGAAATCCTAAATTGATGTCAGACCCCCAACAGTCAACCCATGACAGAGCACTCGGACATGTTCAACATGTTCACACAAACCATGGATACTTCCAGTATACAGAAACCAGAGATGAAGAAGTAGCTATAGAATGCTATAGACATATGATAGATCAAAGCATTGCACACATTTGTCCTATCTCGCCAATGGTGCGCTTGCTGATCACAGCAGCACTTTGTTAGGATGGGAAAGAAAGCAGGGTATTTGGACCCAGATGATGAAAAGCTGAAGCAGGGACAGCAACAGCTGATCCAAGATTCGGCCAAATGGAAAGGCCCAAGCCACAAGGAGCGGCGCGAAAAGGAGGTGAAAAAAGCCATGAAGAATCGTGAGAAACCTGAAAGGGCCTCTTGGAAGCAGCAAGCAACCGGATGGTTCTTCATCGTCTTCATTTGTGGTGTCGGTTTTGTGTCCTTCCTTTTCACCATGTCCGACATCCTCATCGGCAATGGCATTGTGAATCTGGATGTCCAAGACACCAACAAGTTGAAGACGGTGCTCTTCGGTGGAGATCCTTGGCTGATTTACTGCGTGAACGACGACACGGTGAACTACCGCTTGCCGGAGGTCCTGGAACAGTCGGCGCGGAGCTTGTATCGAAGTCTGGGGGTCTCGGTGGGCGTGCTGCGCTGTTGGGAGGAAACGGCCAGTGGTCGCAGCGTGGCACAACGCTTCAAGTTGAATTTGAAGCCTCCCTTGTCCTTCGTGGTGGCCAATGGCAATAAGCCACGTGTCTTGCCGCTCACGGGGATTTCCAAGTCGGAGCACTTGGAGAAACGGATTCGTCCCGCTTTGAGCATCGAGGCGGTGCGTGTGGATGCCTTGAAGAAGTGGAGCTCCTGCACCTCGCGGCGCGCCTGCTTGGTGGTGGGCCACAAGAACACCGCGCAAAAAGACACGGCCATGAACGTGGTGAAGCCGTTGCAGGAGAAGTTTCGAGCACTCAAGGTGGTGACCTTAGACACGGCCTTTTGGCAGTTGAAGTTGGAAGAGAGTCTCATGCGGACACGTTCCAAAGAGCGGCATGGTGCCGATGTCATGTGCCTCACACGGGAAGATGTGCCAGGTGGAAACTCCACCTTTGGTGGTGCCTTTTTGTGGAGCTTGGATAGTAGCAGTGCCCAAGCTTTTATGCAAAACTGTGTGGATCACCGTGACATGGTGCCACTCAAAAGCTCGCCCAAAATCAAAGCCCGGCCATCGCCCAAGCCAAAGACGGTGGTGCCCGACGCGCCGAAGCCCAAGCCCTCGAAACCGAAGCCGAAGCCGAAAGACACGAAGAAGAGTGCGAGTGCGCGGGTGGATCAAGTGGGATCACGGGAGTCTTTGGAGAGTGAAGAGCCACTTTTTGAGGCGGTGGAAGAAGATGAAGAAGAGGAGGAAGAGGAAGAAGGTGATGAAGTGGAGCTTTGACTTTCCATTATTGGTAGTCGAGAAATGACCGTGATGCAGCTTGAAGGGAGGTCAACAAAAAGGACACAGGCCCTGAGGTGCATATTGCGGACGGCCTTGAAGGTGTGTAGGTAACTTCAGACAAGCAGACTGACACATCAGTGCTTTGTTCAGTGCCACATCTGATAGTTTGCACCGAACTGCTGCTTAAAATGTTCTTGTTGGTGGGCGCCAGGAAGCCTGTCTTACTTGATTTCTGCATCTGAATCATAGTTTCTTTGTGCTCCATGGATGAAAGTATGTCATATGTCATGCTCTGCTGGCCGGCTGGGCTCTCAGATGGGGGGTTGAAGCTGCTGGCGACGGGTCTGCCCTAGCGGCCCACAGCCTGAGGCCGTCCGTACCGCCCCGTGCGCGAAGAATACGCCGCGGTGCGTTGGATGAGTTCGGTGCGTTGGATGAGCGTTGGTAAACCTCTTTAAAGGGCCTGAGTTCCTGATGTTTGAACTTTATGAACTTATGAACATTGGACATTACAGTCCTTCAGTCATTGACTGTCATTGAATTGTCATTTAGTCGTTAGGCCTGCCGAATGATCCGTGGAAGAGCGTGTCCGCTTGCCTTTCTGCACTGATGACATGTCAAAACATGTAGCTGTCTTTCCTCCCTAGCGTAGCACTTTTGGCAGTTGCCATGCCTCCCTGCATTTGCAAAAGGACAGCACTACACTATAGCTCCAAAAAGCCATGAAGTCTAAAACAGACCGAACCAACTCCTGACCCTTTTCTTTATTTTCCAAGACCGTTCCAAGCAAACCATTTGTGCACTTGACTCGTTCTTTTCCGGGAAAAGACGTGTAAAACCACAAGAAGATGCAGTATACAAAACCACCTCCCACGGACCGCAGTTCCAACATCCACCAAACCACACTGCCCCCCTGCTGCCACCGCTCCCGCGGCGAGGCGTCGAAGACCTTCGCCATGGGCTTCTTCGCCCGGGGCGCCCAGGGTTTCGGTCCCATCGGAGGGGTTCGGTCGGTGAAACGCGTTGGTGGCATCGCCTTGACCAGGTCTGATGGACGATGTCTGAAGTAGGTAGGTATAGTCGTTTTTCATGGTTTGTCATGTCTTAAAGCCATGCATATATATATATATATTATTGCAATTATATAGTCTATGCAGATGTTGGACTTTTGTTGATATGTGGAGGGTTGAGGATATCAAGATTAGCTTCCGCGGTAGATGAGCTGCTGCCTTTCTTGTCTCCTTGGTATCTCGTGTTGTTTTGGTGCAACCATATGCCCCAAACGGGGTTCGCTTGTGAGAGCCACCTGGACGAGGGTTCGGACCTCTGAGTTGCCGATAAGTCAAATGTCCACAGATCGACCTGAATCCATCGATGTGTTACGGCGTTGAAATGCACTGTTTGAACAACGTTACAACAGTTGCAAAACGTTTGAGCGTTCTTTCTCTCTTTTTGGAGGCGTTGTATTGAAGGACACGTCGTCGTGTAGTATGTCATTTGGCATTGTTGTTTGGTGTTTATTTTTTCCGTTCTGAGTGTTTGTTTTTTTTTCCGATGTTCTTACATTCTTTCTTCCAGCGGGCTCTCCGGTGTCAGGATGATCCCAGTTATGACATCGACCTGGAGAGAAATCCGGAGCCCATGCCTCAGCATCGCCACATGTGCTTTGCTTCTCCCAACCAAAAACTCGCTCCATGTGGAGGTCCATGGAATAGGTCGTGTTTGGGATGTTTTTTTTGTATACCTTCTCGCTGGCCTTCCGTTTGCACCGACCTGTTCCATCCCTCCACGTTGCTCCGCCCACATCGGTCCGTTCACGTGTCGTCTGGCTCCGAGGATGCCAGCGGAACTGTTGGTCTCGGAGATCGGCCACAACCTGCGCTTCAAGGCGGTCCGAGATCCCTCCGCGTCGGTTTGCGGCAGATCTCGGGTCGGTTTTTATGTTTGGCTTCGAAAGATCAAAGGATCATACATATATGTTGTTTTCATGTGTTCATGTGTTTTTTTTCTCTCTCTCTCTCTCTCTTCTCCTTTTGGAAGACGTTTTTGTTCTTGGTGAACGTCTCTGTCTTGGTTGCTGAACTCTAGAAAAAGATTCCAACCGAAAGCTTCCCGGCTTCGCAAACCTCGTCGCTCGGCCTCTTGCGACCGGATCTCACGACCCGTCTCCACGCGACCGGAGACATCGCTAGCGCCTCATGATTGTCGGTCGTGTGGGTTTTAAGACTTCAAACGGTTTCCGTTGGGTTAACATGTGTTGTCCTATTGGGTTAGCATAAACTTGTTGTCCCTGAACTGGCATCTCGCAAGAGTGCTTGGGGGTTGATTGTGGTTGATTGTGGTTGATTGGATCGAGTTCACTCGACAGGGCCACTGCGTGGTGAAACTTGGAGTTGATGAGGATGTGCTCGAGCAGGCGACGGCGCCACTGTGGCTGGACCAAAGAAAAACCTCACGGACGGGAGTCGGGAGCATCATGGAGAACAATTTGTTCATGAGGAGGATAGAAGAAGCTGTGTTTGGTGCTTGCCGTACCAATACCCAGCGTGAGTCATCAACACAAGGAAAGTAAGTAGGGCCTATATGGGGTTGTTTCAAAGTGATGTGTTTTGAGCATCTTCATGAGTAGAGTCTCTAGTTCAGAACAGAAACATCAGAAACACCGCCAAAGGTCTGCAGGAGGCAACCACCTGGAGAAACCAACCGGTCAAACCAACAGATAACCATACCCCATTTTTGTGGAGTCATTCACAAACGTTGCGACACCAATGAGACACCGCGAATCTTTCACACCCGTTGGTCTTGGTCCCAACAGGCCAGTGATGAAGCGGTGGACTTGAAACGAGCTGGCAAACTGCAAGCGTCCGCCCTGCCCAGCCGTGCTGATGACGAAACGACGTCCGGCGGCCTTCGTCGTCGTGATGTCGTCGTGTGTATGTGTGTGATGGACATCTGCAAGCCATCGCATGCAATCATATACCCTATACATCTACTAAAAAACTGATTCATATATTACTGTATATATTGAAGACCCCGTGAAATCTCCTAAAACTGTAAGCAATCAAGCATGAAGTCAATGAAGTATAATGAAGTCAATGAAGTATGATGTCATCGGATGATCCCTTGGAGAATCAGAGGCACCAAACAGTCTCTCTCTCTCTCTCGTCCGTCAAACGAGGCCGCCACAGCAGCTCATCGATGCCTTGTTGGGCCCAGAGGCCCCACGCTGTCGTTGCCGTTCCAAAAGAAGAAAGGAACTCTTCCGTTGACACTTCTCGTGGCCTCGTGGCCCCTCACATGTCCTCGCTAAGCACGTGATTCGATGTAATTCAATCTAATTCGTTTCGTCCCCACACCAGCAACGGACGGCGCACGAGCAACCCAACCCGAGAGTTTCGCACGAGCAATTGGTCTTCCTCTCCTCGCCTCTCCAGGGCACCAACGAGTACTGCAGATTGGATCAGCTGCCGGAGGAGGGCGATGAGGTGCGACTTCGCACGACGGAGCTCGACGGTTTGACTCCACTCAACCCGACACCGGGGGTTCATCGATGCAAAGAACATTCTAGGAATACCATCAATAGGCCTTCATAGGCTTTTGGAAGGATGTTTAGCTTTGAAGAGTTGATTTAGTTTGTGCTTCATCCTTAATTTACACAAGGCTGGGGTTAGGTGTCGTTTATGTGTCCTTTTTCTGTCTTTGTATCGATTGCGACGTCAGGTTTTAAGCATAACGATCAACAACGACAGGTCGTTTCGGTGCGTGCCCTGCGGGTGCGCCCGACCGGGCTGCCGAGGATGTGGAAGTTGGCCCGGAACTCTTGGGGCTCAACCGACGCATCACCAAGATCGCAGGCGCCGTTCGTTTCCATCCGTAGCGCCAGATATCGATAGACTTGGATATGGAAAGAGACAGTATATCGTGGCTCCTTTATTATACTATGGATTATGTCCAGTGGCTCACCGAAGTGATTGGAAGAGGCTCAGGTTATGTCCTTTTTGGCTTTTCTTGTCATTGCCGCATGTTTGGTGTCCTTTGTAACCTGTGTTTCTTGTTTTTTCCGCCAGAAGATATCGCTCTTTGAGGGATGAAACCGGTGAACAGCCGCTCAGAACACGCGAACAGCGGCGCGCGCACCAGGTGCCAGCATCGCCTTTTGCGCCAGCGAAGGCTATGACAACTGCAGCAAGTCGGGCGAATACTTAGTCCGTGGAGGCGCATGACGTGACACGCACACGAGCGGAGAGATGGGACATGAGGAGAGTCGAGAGTCGAGACATTTTGGGAAACCCAGTGGGAACTTGTGTCAACTTGTGTCAAAACCTTGAAACCTAGTAGTAACAAGAAGCTAGTAGTAACAAGTGCATCGCTACTAGTAACAAGTGCCTTACTAGTAGTAACAAGAAGCTAGTAGAAACAAGCCTTCATGGGAGCGTGAGTTTGAGTGAGCTATGGGGGTCGGGGCCTTCACGGGGCCTTCCTGGACCTGTTCATACTCCGGCGGGGTACAGGACCACTTACTGATCCCGCTAACCCCATGGCAGAAGAACTCACTCACCACCATCTGTGCTGTGACAAGCCTTAGTTTGACAACTCCCACCTAAGAGGTAACTTAATGCATACATATATTATATGAACATCATTCATTGTAAAAAACGACTCCTGCGACTCGGCTTTCATGTGATCCGCTTGCTCGAGAGGCGACTACTCGGACGAGGTAGCTGAACTTACAGAGGAGCGCAGAGCGGAGATCGGAGAAACTGTGAAAGTCTTGCCACTGTGAAAGAACGCTACTAGGAGCAAAGGGCATCGCTACTAGGAGCAAGAAGCTACTAGTGGCTCCTGGCCATACTACTGCTTTCACCCACCATGATGCCTCGTGCAGAAGTCAAGCCAATGCTTAAAGAAACTACCTGACATCCTTTCCCCTGGTCCTTTTCATGGATCCATCAAAGGCGTTTCCTTTTGGATGGAACTTTGACCCACCGAGAACCGGCCCAGGAGAGCTGTAGCGAATGGCTTTCCTTGTTAAACCGCGCTCGGCTGATGTCGCTTGGGCGATCGTTAGTGTCATGGGCGATGTTCGGGTTCAGAAATGGGCGAAGTCCGAAATGTCCGTGTTCTTGGCGTATGTTTAAAGGACCTGGTGTTCTCCAAAAAGGGCCTTTTTGACCCCCTGGTTTGAGGTCGACACCAGGGCTTAGGCCTGGAAAAGGTCACTGGATGGGACTCCGGGTGCTGACCGGATCGGCTGCGCATCTCAGGCTGGTGTACATCTTCGGGGAAGGCCGGAGCAATTTCCGGAGCGCTGAAAACAAAGAGAGTCCAATTCATGTTTACTCCGGATGGTTTGGCCAGTTCATGTCAATCCACGTTCTTGGTGTTTTTTTCTACTACTTTCTACAGTACTTTCTTCAGCCAGAAGACCAGAAAAGAGAGAGAGAGAGTTTGTGTCTCTTCTTTCCCTTCGTCCTTCGTCCTTCGTTCCCAAGGCCGAGGGCAGCTGGAGCTGCTGCCCTTCGACGAGGACTCCGACTCGGTGGAGATCGCGCCAGGGGCCCGGAACGACTGTGGATGAGTTCCACGAGGACTACGAAGCGGCGCACTAAGGGTCCTAAGTAGATGTTCGTTATGCATAAACACAAAATATATGTATATTATTGTATGTTGTTTTGTTTATGGTTGTTTATACGGTATTTGTCTTCTGTTTTTTGGAGTCCTAAGAGGCTTCCGGATGCTCACCTGATGGTGAGGAGGTCTTGATGCCTTTAGTCAGAGGCCTGCTATTTAAGATGCGTCCTAGTGCAGGTGGCTTCTGTTCACCTCATTTGAATGGAGTTGGCTTTGGGAAGAAGCCAATATCATCCTAATATAGCGAGGACGACCAAGGTCGAGGAGAAGCTAGAGATATTTCTGCTTCAAAACGATCAGTGAAGCATTTGAACTCCTGACGGTTGTCGCCTACTAAGGACGGAGCCAGACATGCTTGTCCGGAGCTCGAGGGTCTATTAGTTGGATTCACAGGAAGCAATAATTGGAGATCATTGGCTGATGAACTACATCTCATCTCATTTGTGTTGCCTGGTGTTGTGTGTTGTTTGTTTTTTTGTTCAGTGTCATACAACCGACGTTGAATTGCTCAAAGCTTTTCCACATCTCCAAGGTGATCCTCCGTGCAGATCAGATGCACCACAAGCATCAATCGAGCAGAGGCGCGGACGAAGCCTGACACGTTGGCACCGACGCGGAATCGCCAGGGGTGATGGCGAGGTAGATGTCTTTACCACTGATGTCTGGTATGTTGCATTGGTGCTCGTATGTGCTGGTGCTCGTTGTGGTACGAACAAAAGGGTCCGACCAGTAGTGAATCAACCCGTGGCAACTCGTAGAGTCCATGGAGTGGAGAATGTCCAGTGGAAAGGCAGAGGTCGATATCCGAATCGTCTGATTTTCCCCTTGGTCGAGTAGTTTTTGTTCCAAAGAAGAATTCACCAAACAAATCCCGGGGGGACTCCCTCCTTTCTTTTTGCGAATCTGTGCCTTTCTTGCGAAGGTACATTTTCCATCCTCAGCTGGATCATGGCTGCAGAGAACTCCACCACCCGGGGATGGACGGGTGGACTTAGCAGGACGATTTCGTCGTGTGGAGAAGCGAACCCGTCGATCCGTCGAATCCGGAAGCGCCGTCAGCAGCGCTAGCAGCAAAAGAGAGGAGAGAGAGAGAGAGAGAAAATCAATTGTTTTTTTAAAAAAGAAAAAACTATTAGAATCAAATTAAAATCAAATTAACTAATAGCTTCTTGTTACTACTAGTAAGGCACTT